GTAGCGTTAGAGCAGCTTACGCCGCCGCGCGGTGCTGGGGGATGGGCGAGCTCGTCGACGTCCCGTCGGCCGCGAGCGGATGTTGGCCGTCCGCGTGCCACGGCTGCGCGGGGGCGCCGGGGAGCGAGAAGACGACGCCCGCCTTGACCCGCCGCGCTCGATCGCCGAGGAGCGCCCGGACCGCGCCGAGCCAGGGCGCCGCGGAGTCGGGCAGCAGGCGGGCCAGGACTTCGTCGTCGTCGTGGGGCAGCGCGACGTCGTAGCGGCCCGCCGCGCGCCGCATCACCGTCGAGAACCGCGCCGGCGTGCCCGGCGGGAGGGCCGCGAGGCGCCTCCGGACGTCCGCGACGCGCGCGAGCGCGTAGTCGCGCACGAGCTCGAGCCGCGGCGGCGCGAGCGCGCCTCGGAGCGCGCCGAAGCCGAGGTCGCGGACGAGGGCCTCGAGCGGCCGCGAGGGCCGCGCGGTCGCGTCGTCGAGCGCGAACGCGGGGAGCAGCGGCACGGCGCAGTCGTGCGCGAGCGCGAGCGCGTCGCGGTCCGCGCCGTCGGCCTCGGCGGCGAGCTCGACGCCGCCGCAGGACGGCACGAGCGAGATCGGCGCGCCCGCGACCAACTCGGCGAGGCGAGCGTCGACGTCGCCGTCCGCGGCCTCGAAGTCGATGGCCAGCTCGAGGCCGCCCTGCGGCGGCGCGCGGCGGGCGCGCACTGTGTATTTGTCGTTCTTCTCGACGCGCGAAATGATCTTTTCGGCGGTCTGTAGAGACGTTTTGATATAGACGCATCGCCGCTTGACCTGTAAATCGGCGAAGAGATCGGCCAACATCGTCATGAGCCGTTCAGCAGCTCGATTATTTCGATCAGCTCCGTTCGGTGGCTCAGTTGCGTGGTGATCTCGTGGTGAGTGTTGTGGATGTTTTTGAGCGATCTCTCTCAGCACACCTGTCTCGCAGAGCCGCACGGGTACGAGTCGACGACGCGCCCGCCTCTCTTCGCCAAGCCGTGACACACACCCGCAAACTCTTGAGCCGTTGGCGACCCATAATTGTTGGGCGCCATTCAGGTCTGACAAATCAAGCATGCAGGCTCTCCGCGCCGCGCGCTACCCAGCGAGGCCACCGACGAGAAAGAAGTGGAGCGTCTCGAACCTTGTCCCTTTCCCCATCGACTCGCCCGCCGCGAAAAAGAACCGCGAATCGCGAAAGAGCGAGGACTCGCTCGAGGGCACGCCGGGCGCGCCGACGCCGACGACGGGCGCCGCGGGCGCGCCAGTCCGGGCCGCGGCGCCGCCGGCCAAGGGCGGCTGCTGCGCGATCGCGTGACGTCGCCTCCACGGCGGCGCGAAGGGCGCGACCCCCGTAAGAACGACGCGACTCGTCTTACGCGAGGGACATGTGCCACCACGTGCCGGCCTCGGAGAGCTCCCACTCGCGGTAGCGGCGCCAGAGCTCGGGCTCGCGGCGGCGGAGGCACGCCTCGCGGCGGCGGAAGAACTTGGCCTGGAGGCGGTCGAGCGCCGCGCGCTCCGGCGCGCCGAGGCCCGCCGCGTCCCACAGACCCGGCCGCGACGCCCGGTCGCCGTCGTCGCCCGGCGGCGGCGGCGGCGGCGGCGGCGCGTCGCGGCGCGCGGCGCGCAGCAGCGCGAAGTCCGCGACGTCGTCCGCGTCGAGCGACGTCCGCGCGCCGCCCGCGTAGCGGCGCACGGCGGCCGCGGCGGCCTCGTCGCCGCTCTCCTCGCAGACCTCCAGGGGCGTGCCGAAGACGTCGCCGAAGGGCGCCTGGGCAGGACAAGAGTGCGAAATTCCCAACTTCAAAGGCTCCTCTCTCGGCCGGTTTCCACTCGTTTCGGCTGATTTTTGGACGAGCGATCATCTCTCGGAACGGTCTCGAAGCGTGGATGCTCTTTCCAGAACGCGCGCGCGCGGAACACTCACGTTGAAGCGACGTTGAATCACTCTTGTCCTGCCCTGAAGGGCGCGTCGACGCTCCGCTCGTCGCACCA